TTGTTGTTGTTGTAACTTTTTCTTCACATGTAAGAACTGAATCTAACTAGACATTTTTTTGTTCCTTACATGTATTCTGCTGCTTTTTTTATTAGTTGCTTTTTTAAATAAACTGATACTTTTATGTTAACACTGTGCAGTAATTTGGAGAGTTTTTTGTTTTTACATTTAGAAATGAATTATTATTAAACCATTACTATTAGTGTATATTTTGTTTATTTATATATATATATATATATATATATATACAGTGGTGTGAAAAAGTGTTGGCCCCCCTTCTGATCTATTGAGATGCTGTGGCATGACCTTAAAAAGGCGGTTCATGCTCGAAAACCCTCCATTGTGGCTGAATTACAACAATTCTGCATAGATGAGTGGACCAAAATTCCTCCACAGCGCTGTAACAGACTCATTGCAAACGCTTGATTGCAGTTGTTGCTGCTAAGGGTGGCCCAACCAGTTATTAGGTTTAGGGGGCAAACACTTTTTCACATAGGGCCATGTAGTTTTGGATTTAGTTTTCCCTTAATAATAAAAACCTTCATTTAAAACTGCATGTTGTGTTTACTTGTGTTATCTTTTACTAATATTTAAATTTGTTTGATGATCTGAAACATTAAAGTGTGACAAACATGCAAAAAAATAAGAAATCAGGTAGGGGGCCAACACTTTTTCACACCACTGTGTATATATATATATATATATATATTGATTTCCGCATGGCTAGATCACCATTTCGCAATATGCTGATCAGGTGGGAAGGCAGATCTACGGAAAGGTGTGGTTAGGTGGAGCATGTAAAAGGAAAGGAGATTAAACGGTGTGTGTACACTGTGTAAGAGAGAACGCGAACCAGAAAAATAGGCAGAAAGTCATGGACACAGCAAGGTGAGTACATTTGTGCAATTATTAGTAATTCCATTTTTTTCTGATCTGTTGTTTTCTTTCTTTTATCACTTTTTATTACTCAAATTTCTAAACAATCCAGGAAGCAACTTTCAGTTTTGTTTCTGCATCAGAGTGATTGGCCTGCTTTCAACTGGGTACATTACTGTATGGTAAAAATGTTTAGTTTTTTTTCTATAAAATAATGTCAAAATTATTTAAAAATTAATTTATTATGAAAGAATACATGTTATTTGATCATATTGTTAAAATGACTTATGTAAGATAATATTATATAAAGATAATTATAAACTACAACATGCAGTCACCAAAATGTAAAATCTTATGGTTAAAATAACAGAGGCATTATTGTATTACAGAGACTGACTACTCAAAAAATACAAATGGAAGAAATTGTAATTCATATAATAATATAATAAAAAAATTGCATGTAAAAGAAGGCATTTGACTCAAATTATCCAGTGAATTCAACAGCTGACACGAGCATAGTATGCTTGGTCAAAGCCATTTTCAGACACAATACTAAACATTTCAAGAAAAACCAATAATAGCAATAGTTTCTTTTATTGCATCGTTTTTGCTTAAACACGTGAGGATATTTGTCTCACTCCAACCGCACAATATTCCTATTTGCTGTAACACACTTTAAGGACTGGTAATCACCCATATAGTGTCTGTAAAACTATATATTTTTTATATTTTCTATAAAGTGTATGTAGTATGCGACAGGGTTGTAATTGCATTACAAGGAGTCACTGAAGGCTGGATGCTTGTTGTGTCTAGGGTGACCATACGTGCCATTTTCCCAGGACGCGTCCTGGCCAGGATTTCTATATTGCCTAAAATATCTAGGTTTTGGCTTTGTTTGCGTGTGCAGACCGATCGGTGTATGACATCAAAATACCATACAGACGGTTCCTTATGCTTTCTAAATGCTCTCGAGGTATTTTGATGTCATACACCGATAGGTCTGCACAGGCAAACAAAGCCAAAACCTAGATATTTTAGGCAATATAGAAATCCTGCCCAGGACCCATCTTGGGAAAATGGCACGTATGGTCACCCTAGTTGTGTCTGATAAATAAAATACAATTAAACTGTTAAATTCATAGGTACACATCACAAATTCAATCATTCTAAACGTGTTCTTTTTCAGCAGAAGACACAACATTAAAAACAGCAGCACTATGGACTTTGGATTTTTCACAGATGAAAAGTTGTTTGACTTTTTCTGCCAAAGCAAGACAAAGATGTCTACAATAGAAGAGCCATTGATGTTTCTCCGACATCTCAAGGACAATAGACTCATTACAGATGAGCTTTATGTAAGCATGATCTTAACATTTCAGACCAATAATACATCAATATAGAAGCAAAAAGATTGAACATTTTTGCCTTTTTAAACATTTTTTTGAAGCAAAAGCTTGAGAACACTGGTGACGATAATGGTGTGTATTGTGCATTGGATTATATTGAAAAACGTCGAAAGAAGAATGTTAGAAAGTACTGGGAATGTGTGGCCCAGGAGCATATATTACAGCGTTACTCTCAACTCTCTGACATCACTGCAGCTCTGATGAACTGTAAGAAAGTATATGTCTTGCTATCTATCAGTCTGTCTGTCTCACCATCTGAGAGTGCTTTTGTTGTAATATTACACTGAGGTCTTCAGCATTGCTGATTTATTTTCTAATTCTAGTTTCTAATTCCTCAGCTCTGAAGAGTCAGCCAAAGAAAAAAATAAGAGAAAGAGTTGAGGATCGAGGCACAGGAAAAGAAAGAGAGGTTAAAAAGAGAAGGACAGAGAGCAACTCTGTGAGTGACCAAGCTGGACCATCATCACAAAGCATTAGCAGCCAGAGGACGACAGATACACACGTGGAGAGAGGTGAGTTCTAAGTCAGATAATTGATTGACCAGCCTGATTTTTTGTCTGTCTGTCTAAATAATTACATTAAGTTCTGAAACCATTCTGTTTTGTATTTCGAAAAATTCTCCAGATTTTCAGAGCTCTTCAGACTCCAGCACAGAAGCAGGTTGCTATTCATTTTTGGACAAACTCCTTTTGGCGTGAAAACACATTTGCTGGACACTTTATGTGCATTCCCTCCATTATATTTATAACAAAAATGAAACATGTAAAACAACTTGTTCATTTTAATTAAATGCGTTTTACCCTCTTCTCCCTAAGAGGATCTCTGGAACATGGATAAACACAAGACAATGCTTCCTGTCACATGTGGGAATAAAAAGGCCTTATTGGACAGAAAAGCATTGTATAAAAGTAAGTTACCCTCAATGTTTAAATATCTCAAAGCAGCATAACCTTCTGTCTCAAGGCACTATAACATTATAACAATAAAGAGTCCTGCATTTATGCTCTTTTGTTTTAATCTCCACATAGGTGTTTCAAAATAGCCTGACATCAGGCCTATTACTATTATTTTTGTTGTGCATTTAATTGACATAAAGTGGGTTAAAGAAACAGTTCACCCAAAAAAGAAAATTTCCTAAAAATGTACTCACCCTCAGGCCTTAAAAGATGGCCTTGCTCACCAATGGGTGCTGTCATGAGTCCAAACAGCTGATAAAAACATCACAATAATGCACAAGTAATCCACACCACTCCAGTCCATCAATTAATGTTTTGTTAAGTGAAAAGCTGTTTTTGTAAGAAACAAAATCATCAAAGATGTTTTCATTCTGACGGCACCCATTCACTGCACAGGATCCATTGTTGAGGAAGTGATGTAATGCTACATTTCTCCAAATCTGTTCTGATGAAGAAGAAGAAATTGTACGTGAGTCTTTTTTTTAAGGCCTGAGGGTGAGTAAATTTTCAGCAAATTTTTGGGTGAACGATTCCTTTAACAAAATGTATTTTTCAGATGTTACAATTGCCATAAAACCACATATTTTTACAATGTGATCTATTGTCTTTCTGGGGTTTTTTTGTGTGTGTATTTTTCCCAACATGACTTATAACACTGCAGTTATTTAATATTCAAATACATTTTCTAACTAATTAAAAAAAAATCACATTGTTTCTACCCACTGTAGATCATTTACACAAATGTCTTAACGCATATCAAAATTCACCTTTATTCTCAGGAAAGAGGGACTGCATTAAATGTGGCAGAGAAATGATCTCCCCTTATATGTTTGAGGAAATGGGTGGAAAAGAATCATGCAAGTCCTGGAAAACAAGTATATTATGCCAAGGCACAACCCTCAAGAGTCTCATTGAGGTGAGAACAGGAAGAGTTGATGCTAATGTGTCTTAGTACTTGAATGCATTTTGCCCAAAAATGAAATGATACCTTTTCAATTCTGTGACCTAATGGTAGTCTTTTAGTCTTGAAAAAAAATTATAATAATAATAAAAAATATATACTGTATATTCATAATGTTTTCATTGTGCCTTTCTAAGTTGGTTTCTTTTTCTTTTCAGATGAATATTTTGAAGATACCCAAACTTAATGGAAAATTTACCCTTCGAAAATGATGTGCCGTGTATCACATTATTTAGCATTTTCGATCAGTCAATATACTGAGCTTACGAATCCACTAATTTTGTTCCACTTTTAATAAAGTCAGTCAATGAATGAAAAGTGTTAGTGTGAAATAAAGCTTCCCTGTTTAATTAGTATTTTGCCTTTACCTGAATGGGGCAGCACTGTTTTATAAGAAGCTCACTGACAGCACGTGAAGGTGAGTTATAAATACAGCATCATTATGTGCTCAGAATACTACATGCAGCATAACTGATAAGAGTGAGGAAAAAGATAGAGATATCCACCTTTTTTTTTTACCATAATTTTAGCCATTTGTAACTTGATTGTACGAGGCTTTCACTTTCATTTTTGCTTCTTTATATAGCACACTGGTTTTTGTTATCATGTCATTTTGATTTATTATGACAATCATAAAAGCACTTGTTTGTAGTGCAAATAGTTTTACGGTTTACGGCACTTTGTTATTCTTTATTTACCAATTAATCGGAAGTCTTGCACATTCAAAGAAAGTACTTCCATGTTGCAAATAAGGTGGATATGACTGTTCTTGTTGTAATATCAAAAGGTGCTAAAAACAATAAAAATAAAAATAATTAAAAATATAAATAATATATACATTTGAAAATGTTTATAATATTTTATAATTTAATCTTTTAAATATATATTAATATAAAAATAATTAAAACAGTCAGAAAGTGGGCATTAGAGGAGGGCCTAGTCTCCAAATCACTTTAGGTAATGCTGTAGGCCTAAAAGACTGCAACTAAGCTTGAAAAGCCTCAAAGGATCTCTGAATCAATGAATCAGGGCATGTGTAATGCCCTGCCAGAATAAAATAATACAAATGTTTAAACAAAAAAGTGTATTAAAATTCAGATTTTGCCATGATAAAATGTGTAATCACGTTTGTGTATATAAAAAAAATAACTTTTAAAAGTACATTTTCATCTCAAAATAATAGTGAACTGTGAAATGTAGAGGAAGTGACATCTATGATCCATGTTCAAATGTTGGCGAGGTCTACTTTGATTTAACATTTATAATTACTTTTTATTCGTGCTTGACAAGATTTGTCAAGCATAACTTCCACCATATCACATAAAATAAAAAGAAAAAAATGTTTGTTCATATTTTGTACAATTTATAGATGGTAATGGTAATACTGGAAAATGTTCAAGTTGTTAACATTAATTAAAGGGGTCATATGATGCGATTTCAATTTTTCCTTTCTCTTTGGAGTGTTACAAGCTCTTGGTGCATAAAGAAGATCTGTAAAGTTGCAAAGACTAAAGTCTCAAATCCAAAGAGATATTCTTTATAAAAGTTAAGTCAACCACGCCTACCTAAAACGGCTCGTTCTAACACGCCCCCCCATGTGTACGTCACGATGTGGGAAGATTTGCATAATGCCGCCCAAATATTCACGCACATAAAGAAGGAGTAACTTTTATTCTCGCTGTAGTATTGTTGCTGCCGCCGCCATGTCGTGAAGGCACTGTGTGTTTCATTGTGAAAGCGAAACTACTTTGTTTGGTCTTCCAAAAGAGGACGATATCTGCTTCATCATGCCTGGAGCTGATCCGTGCTGGTCGCTGAGGGAATACATCAACTTCACGCTGTGGATCACCAGATCGGCTTTCACCGTGGACGATGCGGAGTCCAGCCCGAGGTCGTCACATGTGGTTGCCGCAAGCCCTCCGGACGCTCCTTCGTCGAATCCGCCAGCCGCGCCATTCTCAAGCGCGGGCGCCTCTGCTCACTCTAGCCCCCGGCCTCTGCTCACTGTAGGCCGCCGCCGCTCACTCTAGGCCGCCGTGTGTGATGCTGTGTTTCGTTGTGAAAGCGAAACTACTTTGTTTGGCCTTCCAAAAATGGACACTGTAATGTTTGGAACTCGTAACGAAAGAAATTAAAAGGCGAGAGAATGACTAGTTCACAACATTACCAACACTTCTTTATTTCCTTTCACTCGCTCCTTCTCAACCACAGAACATTAACTCTTGCAGCCTCTAGTGGACTGGCCCAGTATTGCAATCTATGAACATTAACACAGGACATAACATTCCCCGCTTTCTTTAGAAAATAAACTCTTAAAAGGGGATTATTCAGCCTAATTTCAATCCATCTATAAATTCTGCCTTTAAACCAAAAATGTACTTCTGGTGTTTTATAACATCAAATTAATAAACACGTGAACACATTCTACAAATGTTTTCAATTGCTTTCTCTATTCTTACACTAGTGTTTCCTTTTATTCTCTCTTCTTTTCTTTTCCCTTACTCTGCTACATAGTCTTTTAACCACACAGGAGGCTGCCTAGCCCGTGTACTCCTAACTGGCTCAAGCACAACATTCTCAGTTCCAGGGTTAACCTGAGCATTCTCTAATGCAGTTTGAGTGTTTTCTGGAACCAGAGACAAGTGAGCTGCATTCCATTTCTTTCCATCGCTCAAGACATAAGTGCTTGGTCCTAGTTTCTTATCCACTGACAAAGGAACAGGGAACTTCCTTCCAGCCTTTGGTACATGCATTGGTTTTCTTACACGTACACGATCTCCACACTTGAAGGGTGGTGGTTTAGCACCACGTTTCTGATCTGTATACTGTTTCATCTTTTGTTGAACTTGCTGCACACGGTCATGCATGCCCATTGGCACTTCCTCTCCCTGAGCTGTTGTGGCTGACAGAGTGTTTAACTTTGTGCGCATCTTCCTCCCTCTTAACAGTTCAAATGGTGATACCCCTGTGGTTGTATGCGGGGTAGCTCTGTAATTTTGGAGGAAGTCTGTGACCGCTTGTTTCCATTGAAGTTGTTGTATTTCAGCTACTTGGATACAGTCCTTTAAAACACGATTCCATCTTTCCACAGCACCGTTTGCTTGGGGCCAGTAAACACTGCAACGAATGTGTTTTATTCCTCTTTCAGCCAGGAAATCAGTGAATGCAGTAGAAGTCATCTGAGGACCATTATCACTGACTAAGGTGAGTGGGTTACCTTCTCTCGCAAACACAGATGCTACAACCTTTGTAACTGTGTCGGTTTTAACATTTGAGGTAAATGCAACCTCCGGCCACTTGCTATAATAATCCACCATCATAATAGCAAAACGACAGTCATGTGTGGCTCTCTCAAACGGTCCTACAATGTCTATTGCAACTTTCTGAAATGGACCATCTGGCAGGTCCACTGGCTGTAATGGGGCTGGGCACGTCCGGGCAGTTTTGTCACATGACTGACAGGCGGAACAAGAAGCAATAATTGAATGCACATCATAGTCCATACGAGGCCACCAGTACAATTCTCTTAGCTGTTGCTTAGTTCGTACCACGCCCTGATGTCCTTCGTGTGCTAAGTGAATTAATTTAGAGCGTAAAGCAACTGGCACAACCAATCTCTGTCCTCTCATGATATACTTATCATCCCTAGCTAGTTGATGCCTGACCTGAAAGTATGCCATGATTGTTGGATCCATTTGTTTCTGTGTTTTAGGCCAGCCTTGTGTGATTTGGGCATGCAGCTTGGACAACTCTGGGCAAGATTTGCACGCCTCAAGGAGTTCCTTCATAGAAATGGCTCTTGAAAGGTCCTTTGAAATCTCCGCGATAAGGCCTAGTTCCTCACCCTGGTCAGCATCTGAATCAGGTAGCGGTAATCTTGATAAACAATCAGCAACAAAATTTGATTTACCTGGTCTGTACTCCAGATTGTAGTTGAAACAGAGGAGTCTGGCCGACCAGCGAGCTATCCTCATTCCTGCTCTGTTCATTCCTCTGGTGGCCAGTAGTGTGGTCAGCGCTTGGTGGTCCGTCCTCAGTGTAAACTTCCTGACCCAAAGGTAAGTCCTCCAACGTTCTACTGTCCAGACACACGCTAATGCTTCTTTCTCAACTGTACTGTATTTTCTTTCAGCTGGAGTCAACGTACGAGAAGCGAATACTATTGGACGCTCTGTCTGATCCGGGTGCAGTTGAGTGATGACACCTCCAATGCCATAATCTGAAGCATCGGTGGACACGAATGTTGGCAAGGAGGGGTCGAATGAAGCCAAGGCTGGGTTGTGGACTAACAGCTGCTTTAGCCTACGAAAACTCACATCCGCTGCCTCCGTCCATGTAAATCCATTCTGATAGCTTTATCTTGGCCGTACACGATGAGATCATCTAAGTAGTTCTGTACTCCTGGTAGATCCTCAAGAACTGTTTTCATAATTTTTTTGAAAGGCGGAGGGCGCCGAAGCCAACCCAAAAGAACCTTTGTGAATTTGAACAATCCATCGTGTGTGATGAATGCAGTCAAACTTTGACTCTCCTCATGCAAAGGTAGTTAGTGGTATGCACTTTGCAAATCAATTTGGGAGAACACAGTAGCGCCTCTGAGCTCGGTGAAAAGATCCTCCATATGAGGTAGTGGGTAGCAGTCAGTAATTACAGCCCGATTAGGCTCTCTCAAATCCACGCAAACCCGAATTTCTCCAGACTTCTTTCTGGTTACGACGATTGGTGACACCCATGGCAAAGCATCAATCTTTTCAATTATTCCATCCCTCAGTAAGCGATGAATTTCCTTGGAAACCTCCTCCCGTACACTCAGCGGTAATCTACGTAATTTGTACTGCACTGGTTTAACAGACTGATCAATCTGTACTTTGTGCACAAAACCTTTGACACATCCAAGTGAGCTGGCTGCTGCATTACATATTTCTAACACAGGTGAAGCAGCAGGAGCTGATGAAGTAACAATTTTATCTCCCACAATGTTTAAGGCTTTAATCAAGTCCATGCCCAAAAGTGGTGATCCCATTTTGACCACATAGAAATTGGCAGTGGTTGCAACATCATCATGTGACACAGAAACAGTGAAACAGCCTAAGGTTGGCAAGTGTTCACGTGAGTAAGTGACTAGCCTCACTTGAGGCTCCTTCAGTTCACAATTTGTGAAGTGTTTCATGAACAGTGTCTCAGGCAGGATGGACACACTTGATCCTGTATCAACAATCAAATCAACTGGTATTTTATTTCTTTGTGGTGCTTTCAATTCTACTTGGCTTCGAATTTTGTCAGAAGACTGATTTACAAGCAGCACAGTCAGT